ACTGGTGGGCATCAGACGGTCACCAGACAACAAACGCACAGCATAGGAAGTATTGGGAAGTGAGTTCTGAGTTCCGGTCTCTGAAAAGCAGGGAGAATAAGACATTTTTGTAAGTTGACTATTTTAGGTTGGATGCTCTAGAAGCAACCTGAGAGATGCAGATTTCTATATTCTTGGGTGAATCATTTGCTGGGGGTGGGGGTTACAGGAGACACGTGCAAGGCAATAGGACACAGGGTAAGGAGGCATCTGGCCTCAGTCTGACCCATGCGGAGCTCTGGAACATGGGCTCATGGGTTGTACCACAGCGGTTGTCCTGCCCAGAGACCAGCACGCTGGGCTGCCGCCCCACAGCCCCAACCTCTCATCACACATCTGTCAATCATTAGTCATAGGCAACCCCAAGGAAAGTGGAGAAGAGGGTGAGCATACCTTCCCAGGCACCCCCAGGTAAGGAGGTCCCTGCCAACGGAAGGAAGGTCCCCAGCGAACCGTCCAGGTGAGCCATTAGCTGCCGGCTCTTCTGGTGCATGGTGGGAGCAGTTCCCGGGAAGGGGGACCTGGATGGGACACTCCTAGCAGTGGCTGCAAGCCCACCATGGGGGTGGATAGGGAGACCAAGGCAGTGGGTGACTGCTGTCTGGTTCAAATCAATCTGGGTTTGTCAACCGGAGTCCTAAACACGCCATCACTAAGCTGCATAGCCAACCAATTGATATTTTCTACCTAGATGGACTTAGGTGATTTCTCCCAAAGCAGAGTTAAGTCATTATCAGCCCATTAAGATTGACAAGGAAATCGAGGTTCTGAGAACATGAACCACATGGTCAATAATTAATCAGTAGAGTCAGGATTTACCCCCAGGTCTCCTGGCTCTAATTGCTTTTTCTCTTAGGTTACCTCCCTGGGAAACGGGGGGGTGGGGGGGAGTGGATTTGGATATGAGGGCATTTCCTGCATCAACGGACTCCAGGAAAGGAACCCAGCCAGAGGCCTGCAGCTTGGTCCTGTGTGCTGGCCACTTGGAGAGTGTCCTGCTCGGTTCTCCGGTCAGGGTCGGTCTTCCTCACTAACCTTCTCTGAATAAGATGCATGCTTTGTCATGCACCAGCTGTATCCAGTCTCAGCCAGTCTTTGGCTTGAAGAAGATCTTAGCTATAACCCTTTCTGTGTACCCCCACGATGCCCCTCATTCGCTTATGGGCTTTGCCTAATGTACTTCTCATATGTACTTCCTCCCCTTACCCACGACCACATAGACTTTATTGTAGTGGGGCAAGGACCCTGGGGACTCAATTCTAGTTCTAACAACCAACGGCTCTGCCATCATGGGCAAAACCTTTGATCTTAGAGTTGGAGTGTCTGCCTCTGTAAAATTAGTAGCATGCCATTTCCTACTTAGAACTGTCATGAGGATTAGAAGCAACACATTTAAAATACCAAGCACATAGCTGGAGTACAATAAATGGTAGCTATTTTTATGCGACGGACACACCTGCACAGGAGACAGAGCAGCCCGAGTGCCTGCTAAGTAAGCTGCCACCCCTTGGAGAGCAGATGGCAGGGCCACAAATGTCGGATGCATAGTGGGTTCTCAGTGCGCCTAACCCATCTGCATGCCAGGTAGACAAGTCTCTCGCCTGCATGTCCCCTCTCCCCTCCCCCCTGCCCATCGCCGCTGTCTTGATTTCCCCGGCTGTCCTTGCCCAGAATGCCCTGCCCTGGTTCCATCCACCACCCTCCATGCGCTGGCTCCCTAGTACATCCCTTGAGAAACTTTCCCCTGGAAAGAGCAGGGTCCCTGTGGCCCATCAGTTCTCCGATCTGAGGGCCGACACTCTAACCTCTGAGCCAAACTGGCCAGAGCCAGGGCCCATCAGTTCTAAGTGATCTGGGACCCAGCTCAGCCTTGCGACCTCCGGGAAGAGCGTTCCTCTGTTATCACTCCTGAGTAATAACGCTATGTGTGTCGTCTCTGTCATTTCCCACCCTCTGTTTAAAATCCTCAATGCCAACATTCCCCATCTCCGGAATAGCCGTTTCTGTAGCATCCTTTCTGTGAAAGCAACAAGGGCCTCCCACTTCCTATGCCTCAGTCTCCTCCTCTCTGTAATGGGGGTACTGCTCCTCGGTGAGATGAGAAAGCACAGGCCCTTGCCCTGCCTTCCTGGCCCCTCCGCGTTCTTTTATCTAAACCCAGAACGATTCATAAGCATGAGTTCCTGTTGCTGCCTTTCTTTTATACCCCAGGGGCTTAATGATACGTTAAGCACAGAGCAGGGGCTCAAAAGAAAAAACAATTGCCATGAACATCTGAACTGGTGGTGACCTCTGGTTCTCTGTAAGCAGCAGGCACTGGGGCATCGGTCTCTTCCCCCCACTCTCCCGCCTGTCTCCGGGCACAGAGAGAATTAGCCCCTGTACTCGGAGGCACTGCACCGTTTCTGCTGAACTCGTCAATGTTCAGACTCTGAGCTCATAGCCAGTGTTCCCAGGATTTCAGCACCAGGGTTTCTGGAGGAACGGAGGATGGCAGGGGCTGTCTTGACTCAGAAGCTTCAAGGGCTGTGACTCTTCTAAATATATTAGCTGAGGCTCCACTCAGCCAATCTCAGCCACCTCTCCCAAAGGACCCCGGGCCTGGACCAGTTTGGGCAGGAACCTCACTCCGTTCAGTTGGCATCTCTCTCTGTTAACAGAACTGGTATTAGGCGTGTTTGGGGAGGAACCAGGTGCCCATCTGGTTGCCGAGTCCGGGCCTGGACCAGTTTGGGCAGGAACCTCACTCCGTTCAGTTGGCATCTCTCTCTGTTAACAGAACTGGTATTAGGCGTGTTTGGGGAGGAACCAGGTGCCCATCTGGTTGCCGAGTCGTGGCATGTGGGTCCCGTCAAGGTGGCACAGGTCAACTGCAGGGCATTCTCTGAATGTGAGTGTTGAGATGAGAGCTAAGTGCCTGGGCTAGATCTGGAGCTTGGCTTACTCCTTGTACCCTCTGAACAGACGCAGCCACGGGATCCCAGCCCCTTGCCCATGGGAGACCTCCATGGACCGTCCTTAGTCAAGACCCCGCATCCCCCAATCAACAATTATTGCACTGACACCCTCTGATCACTTCACACTGGGCCACCCGCCTTCAACCATGCCAACCCCAGCAGCTAGATCGTGTGCCTGGTGCTGGGTCCTTCCTTCCTCCATTCCTACCCACCACCTCTTGCCCAGTCCTCCATGCTCAAGCGAACCATCCCCAGGAGGACACAGACATTCACAGGCATTTGCAAAGGCCAGCCTCTCGGGAGTCGGAAAACTCACACTGGGGTCTCCACTGTCACCAAACTCCTGGCTGGGCAGCCTCGGAAACTCGATTTAACTTTTCTGGGCCTCTCATTTCTTCAGCTCTTCAGTGGAGGTGCTAAGGCAAGACCAGGTGATGTGCTGTGGTGGGAAAGGGGAGATCCTGCTATAAGGATCTCTGCCATGCCCTCTGGGGAGCCGGTGGTTCATGCCAACCTAGTGGGTTCTGAGGAAGAGGGCCTTTTCTCTGATACCCAGGCAGGGCTGGGGGTGCAGTGTGGGCCATGCTAAGCTCAGGCCTGGCTGCAGATGCTGAAACAGAACCAAGGTGACTCACCTCGCTGGCAGCCCCGCTGAGAACCCCTTTCCCCTGGCTCAGCACACTTCTTGGGAAGGAAGACCTTTGGCACCAGAGAAGGAATCTGTCAGGTGAGGTAGGGAAGAACTGTCTCTCAGTCTAGGTCTGTTATTTTGAGTTCTGAAGGAGTTGTGTAGAAAGAAACAAAACATATGCTTTCGCTCTACGTGGACTCCAAGCCCTGGCTTCCCTACAGTGGGAGCTTGGGCCTGTGCCTTATCTTTTCCATGCCTGTTTCCTCCTTTCTGAACTTGCCACAATGATCCCTAACCTTCCCGAGGTTACTTGGGGAAACGTTTCCATGAGTTCCTGTCTGTAGAAAACGATCCACAAAGTCCATTTCACTCCTCGGCCTCAAGTATAAACGATGTCAGGAAATGGCTTTATTTTGCCTGTCTGTATTTTCTGTTTTCCCATAATGAATATGTTTTGCTTTCATGGGAAAATGAAAAACACCGCAATTTGTTTGATCCTATAAAAGGCTGACTGAAGGAAGCCACGTGAGGCTCCTCCCACAGCCTGCTGTCTGGGGGCAGGAGTCAGACTGCAAGGGGCCGCGCTTCCTGCACAGGTGTACGGGGCTCCGGGCTCGTGTGCTCCCCAGCTCGTGGTTTCCTTGTTCCTTATTTAACCCTTGGGGGTTTACACTGCTTACATTCGGGACTCCAAACGAAGAGCTGGTTTTTAAACACACGCATATCTATGTCTCAAAACATATGGCATCTATGTCTATAAATACATACTGAGCTTTCAAGAAACAGATAAACAGACACCAACCTAAGCAACCTAGTCAGCTTTTCACAGAAGCTACAAGACCGGACGCATCCAGATTTCGCAATTCCTCTTTCTATTCTACGCAGGGAGACCCGTCGCCGCCCGGGGCGGTGTGCACAGTCCCAAGGTCGAGCTGAAGGCCGGTGCTCTAAACCCCTTTCTTGTAGGATTTGTCCAGCTTTCCTGCAGGTTTCGCCCAATGCTGAGATCAGGACTATCTGCACGCACCCTCTGAGCCACAGGTGCGGCTAGTTGTCATTAGCCACTTCTCCAGTCTCCTCGAGTTTACGCGGAGTTCAAATCCACACTCGGGTACCTGCCGAAGTCAGGAGTGGGCGAAACTGCCTCCTCTAAGAATAATAGGGGTCTCAGTGGAGATAAATCTCACAGTGCAAGTAAGAAAGTAAATCTGATGACCACAGCGAGACAATAAAAATTTAAAAGAGCAATGAAGAAAAGAGAGGAGAAAAGACAGACGTAATAGTGATCAAAACCTTTTTTTTTTCTTTTAAGTAACAAAGGAATATATACTCTCCAATGAGTGCAACATAGACAGTCATTTTGAGTCGGGCAAGTTAATTATATTAAAAAAACGACAGCGTCTCCAGAATTTTTTTCTTTTTTCTTTTCTTTTTTTTGAAGTGAAATCTTTTAGTTCCTTCATAGAGAGACGTATTACACAATGTTAACAACCATGAAAAACAATACAAAATGCCCTCAATTTAACAAGTAGAAAAATATAACTAGTATATATATATGGCAATTGTGAATCTAATACTGTACAGAAGTAATTTATGGATTTTACAAATAAATTATAGCTTAAATGCCCTTTTAAAATTCTTCCCCTCCCCCTCCCCACCTACACCAGAACTTACGGCAGGAAAGTTTCCGAGCCCAGCTTATTGCCCATCAGTGCCAGTCAAATGTTCTGCCCACAAGCTCAAAGAATTTCTTATTTGGCTCGTGGAAATACTCGTGCAGTTTATTGAGGAGTTTGGGGTCCACTTGGGGGTGCGCCCGGCCTTTGGACTCGTGCAGGCAGCGGTCCCGGCCGCTGTCCCGCAAGCAGTAAAAGCCCTTGGTTTTGTTGAAGTAGAAGTTCGAGGCGTTGATCTGCGGCGACAGCTTCAGAAACCGCTCGACCTTCTGGATCTCGGGGAAGGGGTCCCTGATGAGGCGGTCGCCGTCCACGATGTGCACGCGGCTGCGGGGGAAGAAGCGCAGCCAGTTGCGCATGTGCACGTGGTAGAGGCTGCGGTTGAGCGCCTTGTAGTCCACGTTGAGCCGGCCGTCGCGCACCAGGAACTCCTCGATGGACGGGTAGGGCTTGCGCTTCTGCATGTGGTTGTACAGCACTTGCGTGTAGTCGGACAGCACGCGCTCCGACGGGTCCCGCAGGATGAGCAGCAGCCGGATGGCCGGGTTCATGCTGTGGACGCGCTCAGGCACTTTGGGCGACGTGAAGTACGCGGGGGTCTTTTCCACGGTGAGCTGGTGCGGGGCAGAGAGGGGCATCTGGCTGAGGTACCAGCCCAGGCCCTGGCTGTAGTGCTCCTCCCAGTCGAAGAAGTGCACCTCGTTCTCGGCGGCCGCCACGTCGGGGTGCAGGCTGAGCATCTCCAGCAGCGCGCGCGTGCCGCCCTTGCGCACGCCGATGATGATGGTCTGCGGCAGCTGCTGGGCCGAGCCGTTGGGCGCCGAGCTGGCCAGGGCCTGGTCTTGGAGGGCGGCCGCCTTCCGAACGAGCTCCTGCTGGCCCGTCTCCGCCCAGGGCGCCCCAGGGCGGGAAGGCGCTAGCTGGAGCTGCGCCCCCAGCAGCAGCGCGCCCAGGAGCAGCGTGGCCATACTGGACTCCGCGGTGGCTTCGCTGGGCCCGACGTCACTGGATCATGAAGCGCTGCGCAGGAAATGCTCCCTGATCAGTGACACATGGGTGTGCGCAGCCAATTACTAGGAAACAAAGAAAAGCAAATATTAACCCAAATCTCCAGGCTTAGTGGAGCCGACGACTCTAGTCTTGGGCACGGCATTCACCTGGGGGGGGGGGGGGGTAGAGTTTCTCAGCTTCTTGACCCTTTCAATCACCAGGGTGGCAAAGTTTCTGTGCAGGGCAAGATAGATATGGTTTAGGCTTAGGGGACACGGTGTCCATGGCAGCTGCAAGTAGGCGGTATCTCTCTAAAGCACCCCGAGACAACACACAAGGAATGGGTGTGGTTGTGTCCCAATAAAACTTTATCTGTGGACACTGAAATCTGAATTTCATACAATTTTCAGGTGTCATTAAATATTATTTTTTGTCTTCCAATAATTTCTATGCATAGTTCTGTTTAAAAAGAGAGTGGTTTGGTTGTGTAGCCATAGTTTTCCAAATTCTGCTGTAAGAGGAAAGTATTGGGAAGGTCTTTTGGACTTCAGCAGACATCAAAAAAGTATCCACCTGCCAGCTTCAGGCTGAGGGGCAGGTGATACAGGAGCTGACGGTCAGACACTGTTCCTGCCCCCTGGGCCCAGGGGCTCCCCACCTGATAGGGCAGATGACCTGTACGGAAGAATGGTTGTTTAGTTCCGACTCCACCCACCCTGCATCCCATCCTTGCTATGGCCTCCGTGTTGGGAATGTGCTTCCCGACAGTCCGATCTGGGTTTGGCCAGTAGTGTGGGGAAGAAACGATAACCGTCTGTCCCCAGCCCAGGCATTTAGAGGCCTCGAGTGTCTCCCCGTGCCCTCTTGCTGGGAGGACAGTGCCCCTGGCCCCTGGTCCCAGGAGGAGGCTGAGAGGCAGGTGCCGTGAGCCACCTGGGTCACGAGTGAAAAGGCCCCCTGGTGGTTTCAGCCACTGAGTTTTGGGGTGGCTTGTATAGCAGCACCCCGTGGGAAAAGAAACTGATCAACCTGACTGCAGGCATGGACACGATGTGTGCTATGGTCATCCTGCAGGCAGGGGACCGTGCGGGCACACTCCTGCTGCCCGAAACCGCCGGGGAGGGCTTCACGGCAGAGGACATGTCTGAAGGGGGCTAGAGGGGTGAACAGGGAGGTTACTAGAAAAAGCAGAAGAGCCTTCAGGGGGCGAAGCCTTATAAAGTGCTTCTGCAGCCTGCTCAGCTGACGTGTCACCACAGCCCTGCAGTGTAAGGTAGGAAGGCAGGAGCGCGAGACTTGAGCTGCTTGCCCAAGGACACCGCGATCCGGTCCTCTTCAAAATACAGAGCCCCACTCAAAACTCTAAACTCGGGGCTCTCTTTCCACAAACTGCCTCCTCTATGCCTCCTCCTCTCTCCCCGTCTGGGAGTGATCACAGCTAGGCACTGAAGTCCCGCAAGCATGCTGGCACAGCTGGGCAGCATGGCATGGGCTTCCCAAAGACACGAGTCATGGTTGGTGGTTTCTGGGTGCTGATAAACAGCCATCTGTGTCTGACCCTCTCCCAGAAAGAGGAGATTGAGCTATCTTTTATTTATTTATTTTTTTAATTTATCCTCACCCGAGGACATATTTGCATTTATCTTCAGGTAGAGCGGGAGGGAGAGAGGGCGGAAGAGAGAGAGAGAAACATCGATGTGAAAGAGACACATCGACTGGCTGCCACCCATACAGCCCCAACCAGGCCGTGGACAAACTGCAAACGAGGTTCGCGCCCTTAGTGGGAACCAAACCCGGGTCTCTCTGGTCCGCAGGCCGACGCTCTAACCGCTGAGCCAAACAGGCCAGGGCTGCGAGCTATCTTTTAGATAATCCCTGTCTAAACAGGGATGGCTTAGAGACAGGCCAGGCTCGGGGACTGGGACTTCCGGAACAAGTTCACATGTTCTCCATCAAGAGGGTCCATCATCTTTGTTAGACCAGGTTTAAAATTCACTTCATTGGTTTAAAACTTGTCCAGAATGTGTAAACAGAGAACCACATCCAAGGCTTCCATTTTTATGATCAAACCAATTGATCTGTTTCCTTCAGCTCTGACTGTATTAACTGTTGGGGGAAAATGTGTATTAAAGAACAAGCAGTTGAATAGCTGGAAACCTTTGGAGAATCACAGAATGGTGGAGAGGAGACTGGCAAGATCAGCCGGCGTAATTGGGCGAAAAGGGAAACACTTGAGGATGGCTGGCCAAACAAGATGCGGTTCAGATGGGCCCTGCTGATTGGATAAGCTCAATTGAACGGGCCATTTGCTTTAGTCCGCTGAACATTTCAGTATGTTTCAGGCAAATTCCATTTCCTTCTCAATGGCTCTTATGGGTCAATAGAATAGACCAGCGGTGCTTGCCTTTTACATGTTTGTGTGTGTGTGTGCATGCACATGTACATGTGTGTGCTTATATGAGTTTGTGCATGCGTGAGCATGGTTGCATGTGTGCACCTGTGCAGGGGTGGGGTGGGTGAAGTGAGGGCGAGAGTAGCTACTCCACACTACATCCTACTCTCTGCATGGTGGGTGGACCCTCTCCCCTTACTGCTCTGGGTTCTGACTCTGGAAACAACTCCAGGTCCCAGCCAGTCAGCACTTGAGTGATGGAGTCAGAGGCCAGATTGGAAAGTCGTATCGTCTGACTATTCTTCCTACCCTAGTATGAGCATCCTGGTTGGCACAGTGCACAGCTGAGATCTTTTTCCTAAAAGGGAATTACCAGCAGCCACAGAGAGAAGAGACTATATATATAGTTTGTCCTTTCAGAAATAGAAGTAAAAAATAAATACACTGGGCTATTGGTAGTTTAAAATTAAGTTCCTCATTTCTACTTTAAAATTTCTAATAAATGTATTCACTTATTGTAAGCCTTCTACTTTCCAAAATTTTTTCATAGTTGAGCTATATGGAAAATAAAATCTCAACTAAAGTCTCATACACACACGCAGAGACACAGAGGGACACAGAGAGCACATATGTGTATGAGCAATAGAGAGAGAGCTACGTGTATAGCATGTACATGTATGAAACTTTAGCCGTTGATATATATAAACACACACACACATGCATCATGTGCATATGTATACATACACACATATATGTATATCTGAATGTATATGTAAAATATATACACATACCCACACACACAGTAGCCATCAAGAGCCAACTTCCTCCTGTGGCAGTTTGGTAATTTTTTTTCTTTATTGATTTTAGAGAGAGAGGAAGGGAGAGGGAAAGAGAGAGAAACATCAATGAGAGAGAACATCTATTGGCCTCCTCCTCCATGTCCCCCACTGGGGATCGGGTCCACAAACTAGGCATATCCCCTGGGAATCGAACTGGCTACTTGTTGGTCGACGCTCAACCACTGAGCTACACCAGCCGGTCCAGTATGGTACTTTGAATTGCTCAGTGGCACAGACAGAATTTCTGGGCCTTTTAGTCACACTCTCAGAGAAGCAAAGGTGCCCACGCTCAGGTGAACCTGTCAGCCAGGACATCTGAGCCACACAGATCTTGACAATGAGATTGTGAACATCACAGCACAGAGAGCCGAGGAGGCCCCAAGATGACTTGCCCAAGGTCACACAGAGAATCCAGGCTTAGACCCTGTGGCTCCTGAATCCCAGTCTGTACTCTGCTCTTACTGCTGCCTCCCAAGCATGAGGTCTCCAATCAACTAATGGCAATGTTTTCGGGGTCCTAAACAAGAAAGACTCCCAAACCTGCCCAGCAGTGACAGCCCCCTGGCCGCCAGCTCCAGAATCAGCTGATACACGGGGTCTGTACAATACGGTCAGACTCACTCACTGGTTCCATTCAGTGGCAGAGTCAGAAACAATCACACAGGCTACGGAGTGAGGACTCCTTCTCTAGGTTGGACGTTAGTCCAAGTGACAACCTCTCCTAGTCTCAGTCTCCTCATCTGTAGAATAGTAATAATCCACCCCGTCAGCTTGTTACCTTGAGGCTGTGTCATCAATGATACTGTGTACCAATAAGCACTGTCCAACAGAAATATAATGTGGCCAAATACGCACGTTTTTTACGTACCAAACAAATACTTGAATTTATGCCACATATCGGGCTTCTTACCTAAGTATTGAGATGAATTCCCCACTTCTACCAATGCCTTCTCGCCTCTGTAATACCAACCACAGCCTCCCCGGAGCAATCATGCGGCAGATGAATTGTGCAGATAAAAGTGTAGCACAGTTTGGGTACATTCTCAGGAAAACTCAGATCTCCACTGGCAATCAAGAGATGAATGTGCCAAAAACCCTTCTCAAAGGTGAGCGTACTCACTATCTGTTCATGTGTCTCTGGTACTTCATCAAATCTTGCCCTATGACAAATCATGCGTTATTACTACTTTCACTATAAATGTGTTAAAATGACCCACAGGTGCACTTGAAAATTTTCCAGGAGCCACACTAAAAACAATGCAATGTATAGAGGATGAATTATAGAACTGTCCACTTGAAACTGATATAATTGTATTAACCAATATGACCCCAATGCATTTATTAAAATTTTAAAAAGAAATATTTTATATAACCCCGTACACCCAAAATGTTACCACTCTAACACATAATCGCGATATAACATTAAGAAGGTATTTTGCATTTTTTTTGTCTTCAGGCTTCACCATCGGTATGTACACCTTTATTCTGTCGGCACATCTCAAGACCGCCCGTGGCGGTGGCAACCGAGGCGGACAGCAGGAGACACAGAGCCCGGGCACAGTGCGGATGCTGACCCCGGAGGCCAGGGATTGTGGACATTGCTCTCCTACAAGCGAGATCCCCACCGCTCACGGATGAGGAGCTTCCTAAACCCCAGAAGGACCAGGGAGGCAGGTTTGAATTTGCGGGCCGCACAAAGTTAAATTCATTATTCTTCCCAAGCCAGCCAGGTAGTATTGAACAAAAGGAGTCTTCTGAAGGTCTGGACCTGAGCTGGCAAGGTCACAGGTCGTGGACGGGGTGATGGACAGCACCTGGAGCCTAGACCACACCCCTCGCCAAAAGCCA